AAACTGGGCCTCTCTGTGTAGTTGCACCATTCGCACACAGCATCCAGAAAGGCAGGCCTGTGGGGGAGGGGTTGTCTGTTCCTGGGGGGGGGGCAAAACTGTTGCACCAATGAACCAATGAGACTCTCTCTTCTCCCTCTTCTCCTTCCCACCCACTGGTGTGCAGCTCCAAGCTCATTTTCTTACTTAGCTTCCAACTCTACCGTTTTCCTACTATGTATGACTAATTTTAAGGAACTGATTGTCACACGACACAGTGACAGCCCCTAGTTAAGGTGGCATTATAAGGAGAGGAGACCAAGGGGTGGAGGAAGCAAGCGGCAATGGAATTCTCTGGCCTGGGGAATGAAAGTGGACATTTCCAAAATACTGCTGAATAAGAAACTAGCCTCCTTCCCCTTAAACCAGGACTCCATAAGAAGAAAAATCAATGGCAGCGGGGAGGCCCTGCCTTAATGTACTCTTTGATAAATGAGGGCCGAGCCACACCAGCCAGCTTCCTAGAGTCTGTAACCTAACCCCTTTGTCATTGCAATAAACCTGCTACTTGGCAACTGTGAGAATTTTGCTTTCTGGGCTGGAAGGGGCCATAAGGGGCTTCACAAAAGCCCCAGTTGTCAACATCTGGATGAATGGAAGGACCACGATAAATACCGTTGCATGCCAAAGGAAGAAAGACCATCACACACAAGCCCATTTGGACCAGAAAAGGCCTTTGCGCCTTTCAAGAAGGTTTTTTTTGTTCTCTCATTCAAGATTCAACTGCACATAACCGGGGAGGTCAGCAAAGGAGGAGAAACTTTTCCAGAATGCAGTCAGCTGCCCTTGGCTAGCGCCTTCCCTTCCCTCTTCCACCCCAGCTTTTAAAAATTCAAAAGCCGTGCTTATCAACCTAAGGATCCTAAGGGGTTGCTTTTGACCTCAAACGTTAAGGGTCAGGATGCCAAATTCTATGAGGAGCAAATTCGGCACTCGCGCAGCCCTGTCTCTTTCCCACAGCCCCAATTTCCTCTTGGCCAAGCTACGGGTGGGGGCAGAGACCCCTTACTGGCTATGGCTTTTCCCAGGCTAAAAAAAGGGGGAAACAGCACCAACCTGTCGGAATTTCGCCCGCGCTTCCTTCTCTTTCATTCTGCCGTGAGCGACTAAGTAGTCAAACACTTCGCCTGGAGGAAGAAGGAGAGTGCAATTCTAAACCAGAAGCTGCCTTTTCATTTTGAACAGAACTACGGCACATAAATCAGGGAAATAAATAAGGAAGGGGAGGTGGGGCGGGGAGCAAGCTTTTCAAAAGCTAATGATTTTTGCTATGGGGATACGACCAGACCTAGACACCTGAGGAAGTTAGGCCCTAAACCAGTGTTTCTCAACCTTGGCCACTGGAAGATGTGTGGACTTCAACCAGCTGGGGAATTCTGGGAGTTGAAGTCCACCCATCTTCCAATGGCCAAGGTTGAGAAACACTGCCCTAAACTGTTGATTTCCATCTCATGCCTTCCCTGGCTGCCACCACCAAGAGCATCGCTTTGCCATTTTTGGGCAATGCCTGGAGGAACTGAGATCATGCCCAGCTCTACTTAGCAGGAATCTGCCTGCTATGCAGAAATCCCCAGATAGTGCTCTCCAGCGTCTCCAGCTGATGGATCAAGGTGCACTTGATGGGAAAGGCCTTTCTCTGCCGGAGTCAGTAAAAGCCAGGAGGCGCCCATTCTCTGCCTGGATGGGCACAGATCCCCACCTGGCTTTCTGCATGAAAGCCAGCCTCCCAGCCAGCTGTCTCACTTTCATCTGAGTCCTGCCAGCTCCAGGTACTGCAGGGGGCAGGAATGGATTTTGCCCATCTGGCGCTGCCCTGCCATTTTGAAAGGCCTTTGTTACTCCTAATGGACCATATGCCATTCCTAGGAAGCTTGTCAGACTGTCTCCAGGGATTCAGGGGCCACTCAGTGCAAGAGAAGCAGGGGGGAACCCTCAACTCAGAAGAACCATCATCAGTCACAAGGAAAGGAGATTAAAAAAAAAAAAGTTCTAACAGATCAGATTTAAATTCCTTTTTTGTCTCGCTGATAACTTGCTGGGAGTATGTATGTATGTATGTATGTATGTATGTATGTATGTATGTGAGTATATATGTATATAAATGCCTCTTGGAATGGGTATAGCAGATAAACTTTCCTGGGATAAGCCACTTGCAAAAGAAGCCCCCAGTGACTGGCCAGCTTCATACTTCTATGAATATATAACTAACAGAGCCTGACTCTGCATGTTCATGGATTGTTTTCACCATGTTTTGCTGAACAAGTCATATAACCACATATATAATGCTAAGTTTAAGCCAGCTTCACACTCTGTGCTGACCCAAGAACAAACCAGCTTAGCACAGTTCATGAATCCCATCATTGACTGAACTCATACAGAATGCTAAACCATAAGCCATAATTCATTTACTGTTATATTTATGTCCCACCTTTATTTTGTACAACTCAAAGCAGCATACCTAGTGCTCCCGTCTCCTATTTTCGCCACACCAACAACCCCATGAGGTGGGTTGGGCCAAGAGATAAGCAGCCGGCTTTCAGGCCTAAGGCAGAACTAGAATTCATGGCTAGTCCAGCACTTTAACCACTACACCAAACTACAGTGCACAAAACATTGTGGCCCACGTCGTAATGGGTGTACGCGTGCATCATGTTAAGCAAAAGACAAACAAGCTAAACTGGACCGTGTGAACTAGGCTCTGGTAGGACTGGACAATCTTCCCCAATTTGAACATTTCCAAATGTGTACCCTTCAACTCCCAGAACGCTCGAGCTGCTTGGGGAATTCTGGGAGTTAAAGTCCACACATCTGGAACGCATCTAGTGTGAGGGCAGAGATGAACCCCATGTATCTTTCCCAAATTGTTTGAAAACGGCAAAGAAAACCAGCTAATACAGCAAGCTAGGGCTAAGCTCACGTATTACAAAGCCATGACTTGCTTTGTCAAATAAATCTCAATCGGCAGAGTTCACCCCACAGTAGGCCAAAAATCACAGTTTACCGATTGCAATGGCTGGATTCACCCAGCAGGCTAAACATAAAATTAAGCCAACTGCATTAGGCCTTAGCGCGATCTGCGAACCCCATCTGGCGCCCGGAATTGGGAGCCTGGGGGGCAGGACGAACACTCACCTCCGCTGGCGTACTCCATGACGAGGTACAGCGTCTTATCCGTCTCTATGACTTCAAATAACTTAACTGAAAGGCAAGAAGGGGGAAAGGGTGAGCGAGATTAGAAACACCTTCCCAAATAAGGAAGCCGGCAGCAGCTGGCTCAGGCAGAAAGAGGAGACACGCCTGCGGGTTACCTGGCGAAAGGCACTGCCACAGGAAAACTGGCAGCCGCCAGCAAAAGAGCCTCCCGAAGCCACAAGGAAGAGAGGCTTTCTATGGCCATGTTGGAACATTCAATGGCTTTCAGGATCGGGGGCAGGAGGCTGTCTGAGAACGGAGGACAGGGGAGGCCCCCCCGTCCCCACCTGGCGCCAGAGGTGTCGGCAGTGAACTCTTGCAAGCTCCAGCCAGCAAAGCCAGATGTCGGGAGCATCAGAAGGCTGGGGAGACGTTTGGTGGGCAAGGCCCACCCGCTTCTTCCCCCCAGGGTAGGACCGGCAGATAAGGAACATCCACATCCGGTAGGGAGTAGGGAAGAAAAGAGGCAAACTAGGCCTGGCGTTCTCACCTATATTGGGATGATTCAAAACCTTCATTATTCGCACTTCCCGGAAGAGCTGGAGAAAAAGAATAGGGAAAAAAAGACCAGCCAGGTCAATGTAGATAGTTACTTGCAAGCCTCTAATGGCGGTGTTCCCCTATCTGGAAGCAGCCTCTCCCCACGTGGTGACTTCTGGATGTGCTGGGACTGTAAATCCCAGAATTCCTGTTGGCATCAAGGTTCACGGGGATGAGGGACTTTGCAGGATGCTGCCAGACACAGGAAGTGGCTGGTTGCCCTGGCTTGCAGAAAGCTTGTTGGAGGAGAGGGGCTGAAGCCAAATAACACGTTCCCAATCCTACAGAACAGCGTTTCTCAACCTTGGCAACGTTAAGATGGGTGGACTTCAAGTTCCAGAATTCCCCAGCCAGCAATGCTGG